AGAACAGACCGAAGTACCAGATCGTCGCTCACGATAACAGGGAGCAGGGTGCTGACGTAAAGCTCAGTGTCGACGTTGTCGACGGACATTGACGGCATCGATCGTGAAAGGAAGTGCTGGAGGAGCATCTGGAAGGATCCCTCATCGCAGTCAAGATCTGGTGGAACGATGAGTGGGACATGAGAAATCTTGGGGGCCATGCGGAGGTGTTCGGCTCGTGACCGAAGGCTCTCTGGAGATCTCTTTCTCCAACCGTAATCTTTGGCTGACTCTGACGGTGAGTTGCTGTCACTATTGAAGTTGACAGTGCTCGCCCGCGAAGCTGTCCACAAAGGGCCAGCTGGTAGGGAGCTGAGGTTCGTTCCTCGTCTGCTGACACTTGTCTGAGGTCCAGAAGCCGAAGATGCAGCGGCAGGGTCAACTATATCATCATATATCATAATCAAGATTAGCTTGGATTATGTGACACACAGCACAGAGACACAATGGTCTTGCGGATTCCACTCACAGCAAAAAGAGTCGACCGTCTGGGGTGCCGTCCAATTATCTGGCCAGACGCACTCTGTGCCCTTCCTTGAGCATAAGGAACATATAGGCTGCCTCTCGTCGCACTTCTTTCTTCTAGCTCTGCAGCCTAGGCACCCTGTTCTTTTCCGCTTGTGTCCAGATGATCTTTCCATTTTGACAATCTTCGAGAAGAGGTCCCAAATTGCGGTGTGGTTTGCCTTGTGCTGGGAGTAACTGAATGGCCTGCAGAATGACTTACGCATCAGCAGGACAATTGAGTGATGAGAAGCAGTTGCTCAAATCCATGATCCAAGCCTCGCCAAGTTGAGCTGCACCTACTGTTGTTGAGGTAGGAGGAGGGAAAAAGTACGTTAATGGTGTGAGAACCAAAGCGCTGGGAGTGGACTTGCCGAGTACCGAAACTCCGCTTTAGCGTCATCCCATTCTTGGGGGCAGTACAACAACCTTCGCACACTAAACCCCCTACGATTCGCTGGTACATACAGAGCCCACAGGCTCTAGCCAGGATCTAGGAGGACGGTAGATTGGCGTCCCGCTGAGCTTAATTGGTGACATACTCTACAGTTAAAATACTAACAGCGAGCAATAATCTGGACGGGTTGCCGAGACGTTCAACAAAGGAAGGCAGGCGTTTCTATGATACTATTTCCTTCATCTTGAATCTTCATGATTAGTGATCAGACTCAGCCCATGCCATTGCGCAGCTCAGCCTCCACTGGCGCACACCTAGCTATTGCTCTTCAGAACGACCCAATGATGCACCAAGTCAAGATTCTGATACCACGGAAGCTGACCGTAGCTGTAAACTGAGTGGCTTTAGAACGAATATTCAGAGATCCTAGTAGACGATACACTGCTGTCGACATTGAAATGAAGGCTGGCCTGAATGGACCTGTCGAAATTGAAATTTTTGCAATTCGAACGCAGGAGATAACGAACTTCAGCGCTGCCACATCTCATACATCGTATTTGAACTGAACAATGAAACATCAGTATTTCATGACCCAATGCCTCTCCGTTTCACCAGCGTTCTTCACCTCTGGTGTGATATTTTCGCTGTTTGTAAGGGGCGGAGCCCGTGAACGGCGCAGAGACGGGCAACGGAACACTCGGCCAACGTCGCCGTCGCTCAGACGCTTTAGAGGCTTCGTTTCGTCCCTATCGCCAACTCTACAGGCACGTTAGACTAGTCTTCTTTAGGAATGCTAAGCGCTAGTTGCTTGTGAAGTCTTCGGAACGGCACCAAAACCCGAACAGCTCGTATGCTCTCGGCTTCAATGCCGCTTCACAGGTCCGTTTTTTCGAATGATCGTTAGTTAAATCAGTGGTCCGACTCATTTAGAGTGATTCGTGCTGGCGCAAAGTCAATGCTCAAAGTGTCTTCACCGACTTCATTTTCCGAGGTTTTGACGCCAGGTCGGCTTTGCAACGTACAGACGACAGCTCTTGAAGTCTTTATCTAGTGACCTTGCTCAACTCTTTTCAACTCAGGTACTGAACCAGTATTGTAAGTCTATTGACATGGTCTCTTGCCATCGCCTAACTTGAGCCATGCCTGCGTGATTTCACAAAAATATCATTTCTATGCGCTCTTTGACACGCTCGTCTCTCTCGGAGGCGAGTCTACAACCTGCCCATTATGAATGAAGAGGTCGCCGTGGTCGTAATCCGAGATGGCATCCTCAATGTAAGCGTAATCAAGACCGCGAATCTCGTCTTCCTCAGTGGCGCGGAGATGGCATCCAGGAATCTTGTTGATGACGAACAGCAAGATGCAGGATACGAAGAAAGACCACGCAGCGCAAGTTGTTCCACCCGCAAGCTGAAGACCCAGTTGGCGAAAGTTGCCGTTCCACCAACCGCCGTCGTAGGTGTTGCTCACACCATCAAGTGCGGGGACCATCTTGTGGGCAAAAAGACCGGTGAGGATGTCGCCAACGTAACCGCCGACGCCATGGATTGCGAAAATGTCGAGTCCGTCGTCAACACGGAAGAGATACTGATATTTGACGGTGTAGTACGAGCAAATCGCTGTGAGAACGCCAACCAGCGGTGACACATACACGAGCACTAAGCAGATGATTAATTTTCGAACAGACCGCGCCTCAAGTCCCAATGCTTACCGAATCCTGCAGCCGGTGTAATTCCAACCAGGCCAGCAATGATGCCGGAACAGAATCCAACAAGACTGAACTTCTTGATATAGAAGTAGTCGAGCAATACCCAGGTGATCCCACCACCGCAAGCAGCGAAATTCGTGTTGACAACGACGTAGATGGATCGGAGACTAAGATTGGCCGTGCTGGCGCCGTTGAACGCAAACCACCCGAACCAGATGAGCACCGTTCCAAGAACCATCAACAACGGGTTATGCGGTTTGAAGTGCGGCGCGTATTTCTTCTTCGTCACTGCGTCGTCACTAAGTCTTGGGCCAAGCATCATGGACCATGCAAGGGATCCGAAGCCGCTGGCAATGTGGACGGGGCCAGAGCCGGCGAAGTCGTAGAGGCCAAGGTTGTAGAGCCAGCCACTGGGATTCCATTCCCAGTGTGCCAAACTACCGGGAGTGAGTATTTCGTTCTGCGGAGGGAGTTTTCATACTTACACATAATAGACAAATGTTGTCCAGCAGAGAAGAAAGAGCATGCTTGGCCAGAGACGGCCGCGCTCCAGCATCGCGCCCGCCAAGATCATTGCTGTAGCCGTGACGAAGGTGAATCCGAACGCAGCATCTAATTGCAACAGATTAACCACATGCCCTTACACGATCGACGCTTTTCTCCAAAGTTCTTACAGAGGATGTCTGGGATATCAGAGTTGGCAAAAGACGGAGAGGCGAGGATGTTGTGGAACACGCCAACCGACAAGTCGCCCAAGATCGGATTCGATACCCTTGACTGATATAACGAAGCTCCGTAAAGCCAGTACTGGATGCCGCATGCACATGCGCAGAAGAGAGACTGCAGGATCATCGTCAAAGAGGACTTTCGGCGATGCATTCCCGCATACAGGAAGCCAATCGCTGGCGTGATCTGCCAGCAGAAGATTGTGCAGACCAGAACCCAGCAAAGATCGCCCTACAAGGTGTCAGTCGCCCGCAATACTTCTTCTAACCCTTCATATTCTACCTCAGAGGCTAGTATTCACCTTGTCGTATGGAGAGTTGAGATCATGGGTAAGGGGGTCGCCGCCGGTCGGGTCGACGGCGTAGTCGGGGAATTCTGTCACCGGGATGATCTCCGCCATGTTGGCAGCTGTTCACGATATGCCTCTGGAAGAGTAAAGATGAACACCTGCGCGCGGGAGCCAATACAAGCGCGCGTCTTTCTTATTCTTTAAAGAACCAGGACGGCGGGCCGATCATATGCAAGAACGGGCATGGAAACTTCGGAGCCACTTGAATGTTTCCAGTGTCTCGGGCTGACAGTGTCCCCAGCCTGTGGCTATCACTCGAACATCACCGAAATCAGATAAGGTTGATACCCAGCCCGAATTGTGTCAAAATTAAGCATGCTACTATTCTCTTGGCTCTCATCACCACGCTGATACCAGATAAGGCCAATTGCCCTGATTGGCCTGAGGTACCCCGGATATCCTCAAGGGACGCTGCCAAGCGTTCGTCAACGCAAATCAGACCAAAAGACCTATCTTACATCCGAATAAAAGTCTGGGCGTTCATGGGGGAATGGAAGGGAGGATGTGTGATGGAGTCTTGGAAGTTCGTGGCCCTGGTAAAAGGGGCTGAAGGGCCGGCCAATGAGAGACATGATGTCAAGTAGGGTGCGTCTCTAACTGAAGCCCAATAGCAGGATTCTAGGGATGGCGCACAGCGTCATGAGGTGTCAAGCCCTCTAGTGCGGCTGCCCGAAGGTCCGCCGCGCTGTTTGGTCTTGAGATGCAATGCCCCGAGGCCATTTGATATGGAGGCCATGCGAGGGAACCCTGGCAAGTGTCAGCTGCAACACCGTCGCGGCCTCCGCATACGGGCTCCAGAGGGAGCGGACACAGCCGGGGATGCGGTCGTCATCAAGCGGGGTCATCCCGCACTGGCTGCCCAGGTTCTTATCGGAACCTCACCAAATGGCTGCGAGACAGTCGCCGGGTAGATTTGACATTTCGGGTTAGACCCAAACATACCGGATGGTTAAAGTTCACACCGTGAAATCTTTCCCGTTCCGGATGTCAGATGAAGAGGGCGTGCCTCTGGCTAGTCTCGACTCTCCTGCTGTCGCATAGACGTGCCGCATGGCGTATCGGGCGCATCGATCGCCGTAGGTGTAGCATCTGACGAATCTGACGATGGGCAGGTTAATTCTTCCAGAAACATATGTGCGTTCAAGAGGCATGCGATAGACCGTCAGTTTGATAGACGGTGATGTTTTACCGAGTCGGGCGTAAATAACCCCAAGCTCTCGTTCTTCTGACGCGTTTTTCATTGCTCATCCAATCTGTGCCATCAAAGCCATTCCGCCATGTCTTTTGTGTTTGATTTCGCGAGTCCTCATGTTGCACTCACCGTGCTTAGCATCGCCGCGTGCACAGGCGGTCTGATCTACCTTCTTAGCTTGCTTATCGACAGTCGCAAGAGCTCGAACAAGTTCCGGCGCGATTCATCACCGGGCCAGTCCACTGTGAGTACGGCCGAGAAGCAGAGCTATGTGAACGCGTTCCCGCCGTCGCAGAGGGCCACTCTCGCCAAGCTCGGACCCCAGTATGCCGGCATCACGGAGGTGGACCTGGCCGCCACGCCGAAGCCCCTCCTCAAAATGGGGACCGACTACCGATCTGCCCCGGCCGGAGAGTTCAACTTCAGCGGCTTTAGTGTCGATGACATCCGGTCTCTTGGTGACTTCCCCGACTACGCGACTCTGTCCGGTGTCCCGCTGCCATCGCCGCTAAAGGACTTCGACATCAACAAGGCAGTCCCCCGGCCCTACCGTCCCTTCAGATGGGCCTATCACCAGACGATGTGTATGTTCATCTTGCTCTGATGTAGTCATTTTCTGCTGACGACGTTGAAATACGAGCCCTTACAAAGATGGACACAGACTTCTGGATCGAGCTTGAGAATACATACCATGGACGCATCGCCCAGCGCCAGGAGCTGTACGCCAAGCACGGAAACGCCGTTTTAGATAGTCTTCCAGGCTGTGAGCTTGCTTGCAAAGAGCTCATGGAGATGGTTGTACAGTTCGTATGTACGAGATATCCAAACCAATTCCAGGTTAAGGACGGAGTTCTCTTCAACCGCATCCTCAATACCGAGACCGACCTAAAGACAACTGAGCCGCTCATCGTCCTTCTGAACAATATCCCCGAAGACTTCGGTATTATGCTCAGAGACCACGAGACAGGCCGATACTTCCTCCGTGGGGGTATGGTCTGCTCTTCCGTGGGATGGAATCTCAAGGACAAGGTCGGCCAGGGTTTGCCGGGCATTCACAAGACAGTTCCTGACTACAAAGAAAAGATGGAGTTCAGCATGGATCGGTAAGCTTGACCCCTCAATATTGTAACCCACCCATCACTGATCACAGATGACCAGCTTCTTCACCAAGATGCCGACATCTAAACCGATTCAACGTGGGTCATGGGGCCTGGAAATGGGACAGCCGCTGTATCTTCCAGCCGACCACCCGGACATCGCCCACCGAGAGTCCCAGAACCCTGATTTGAAGCCCGAGGACGTCTACTTGCGAGTCGACTGGCAGACTCTACGCCGACTCCCTCTCTCTGGCGCCATTGTCTTCAACTTCAAGGCTTTGTTCACTCCGTTATCAGAATTCAAGGACGAGCCGTATGTTCCGTCCATCGTGCTCAAGGTCTTAAATGAGGGCAAGGAAAATATTTTGAAGTACAAGGGCGTGTGGCACGTGGAGCATGTTGCGAAACCAACATTGGAGGCGTATGAGCGATTTCAGATCGAGACGGGAATGATAGAGAAGGACTGGTCGCATCAAACTCTGGCTGAAGCTCCATTCTTCCCAGGTTGGGAGAGGAAGTGGGCTGTCGCATGAGTTTGGAGAACTCAGCATTACGAATAATGAGAGATGATTTGGGCGATTGAGAGAATACACATTCACAAAGTGTTTCATAGTACCCATAGTACTGAGACGAGAATTTGCAAATCTGTACAGAAACACATTTCATTGAAACCTGCTACGTTTTAGACAAATGCTTGTGGCTGGCCTGGCGGAGGGCTATTGTCTCTGTTATCGTGGCATTACAATGAGAAGTAATTGAGACCAACCATTGATCGTATTCTTGCAATCGAATAACTCATATGAATTCAGCATTAGTACAGAGCCAGAACTCTCAAAATTGACGATATAAATTCGAGTCCTTAGAGAACGCCAACTCATGAAGTCCTGAGGTGAGACCAAGTCACTGCCTCCAGAGATACAATGCACGGGATGTGGACACGAGCGCGGCAGAAGTGGGAAGAAAAGAGGGGTGTATGCAGGCTTATCTATAACCCTGGGTCAGACTCCAGTAAGGGAATAGATAAAGACACAATGTGGAGGCTTTGATTGGCCTGGATGCCTGCATAATGCGGGGTAGGCAGACCTGATCGCCGTGAATCTGGGTCTGGAAGCCTGGTCTCCTTCGTTTTGCCCTCTCTGGTCCCTTGGCTTGTTCTTATCGCCGCTGGGCCGAAATAACTGGAGACAATTCGGCAGCGTTGCGGCATCTCGGTGTTTCCAGCTGTGCGATCTCTCGTATTTTCTTCCTTGGGGAGGCAGAAACAGATGCGAATCAACAGAAGAGATTCTTTAGAGATTCTCTCAGGAGGCTGTTGGTGTTTTCCCAGTGACTCACTGGGCGAGTCTATAGATACATAGTCCTATCAACCAAGCATAAATTCGCCCTCAGCCGGGGACGCTGGGTTTCGTTTTCCGGCCCTAGATCTGCACCGTCACTTCAACGCGCCTCTCTGAAGCTTGCCAAAGTTTGATGTGTATTACTATGTCTGCCAATGCTTGAAGACATTCCTTCGATTTAAGTTGTCATTCGCGCCTTTCTCATACCCAAACCAACGAGTAGAATCTTTATCCGCGCTGGTGCTGGACGGCAATCCGGCCAGCAGCTGGCCTGCATCAACACGCAGCGAGACCAACCACAACTGGAATCGGTCATTTTGCTGGACCGCGCTGCAAAGACTTCCCCGCTACAAGGATGTTCTCGGAGCCTTTCCAACGCCAGTTTCACACACCAATCTGCTAGGTCGGGCCCAATCATAGACACCGCTAGCTTATCATCTGCCTGGCTTCAATATGTTAAGATACAAATATGCGTCATCGGATGGACACCTCCCCCCGCGTTTCCAGCGCACAGCCGCAGATGGGACGTGCTGTATGCGTGCCCCCCAACCCCGACCCCTTCCCACAACGACGAACTGGTAAACGCGCTCGGCAAAGCAGCTCTGGATCATCAACAAACCTGCCTGCTCCCTCGTCCTATCTTCAACATCTGCTGAGCTGATATCCGATCTGCCCATTTGAGTAACCATATCGTTCGATACCAGCTTACTCCATCAAGAGCTTTCCCTCTTGCGCCCAGACATACAATACCCGCATTTCCCCTCCCGAAACTCAATGGTTCCGCCGAGGAATCCGAAAACGGCACCAACCAAGACAAGGACGGGTCTCAACCCTCGTTCGAGATCAGGCTGCGTAACCTGCAAAGCCAAACACGTACGTTTTGATCAAAACTTCAATTGCTCTTGAGCCCAAGAGACGCTCAATGAAATCTAATAAAATTTTACGCAGACGCTGACCCTTATCGGATAGCTTAAATGTGACGAGTCCAGACCTGTTTGCCAACAGTGCACACGGAAGGGCATCAAGTGCGGGGGCTATGCGCAGGGCTTGAGATGGTCATTCAAACATCAGCCAGCTCTTCAGAGCCTTTCTTTTGAGGACTACAATCCCTCTCTGACGACCACAACGACATCACCAGAAAGGACAGCAGCGCCTCCGCCTGAACCTCGAAGTCGCGTCTCAAAGGATAAGGCCTCCGGGTCATCCAACAACCGAAGACATCGCAACTCAGTATCTTCGTCTTCATCTTCATCTAGGGGAACAGTAATCACATCTCGCAGTGATGAGGAGCGTCAGGATGTTCCGGGCGGGACCCCGACGGGTCCTTTGGGGACGGACGTCGATATCTCAAGGGCCCAAGTGAGGGATTCGACCCGGCGACCATCAGTGAACTCTGTAATACACGCATCTTCAGGGTCAACATCATCTGCAGAAGAAAACACCCAACCAGATTACCAGTTGACGAGCTGCATCACCGACACTTCATCGGCCTTCATCGTCAACTGGTTTGAACAGGTCTGCCCAGCATGGTCGGGCTTCGATTCGAGCGCAAACATGAACCGCAAGATAGCGATTGACCATTGGCGGAACTCCTCCACAGTGTGTAGCTCACTCGAAAGCATGTCGGCCGCTTTTCTGGCCTCCAGGATGCCGAGCATGCGCCAGTCTGCACTCAGACTCATGGGTAGGGCAACCGACTTCATCCAGGCCGAGCTTGAACTCGTAAAGGCACAACCCGACTTGCGTGCCGTTCCGACCGGGCTTTTATTCTCGCTATTCTGTCTCGGAACGACGGTCTGTTGGGTAGATTCGCGGGGCTTTGGCATCCCATTCCTCCGAGAAGCGCGAACTCTCATTCAGCGGCTGAACACGCAGTCCATAGTCCTCAGCGCCACCGGCTTAGACATGCTGACCTTCTTCAACAAGAGCTTGGCATATTGCGAGATGCTTCTAGCAGTGGTACGCGACGACGAACCCCTCGAAAGCCAGGACAATGAAGACTTGGCTGCAAATCAGCTCCAACTCATTCATGAACGGGATCCCCATCCATGGACCGGGGTTTCCACGGTCATAAACCGCTTGTTTGCAGATTGCATTCGACTTTGCCGAAGCTTTCGACATCGCCTGAGGCAAGGCATGGATCCGCAGCGATACTTCTCTTCAGCGCTGCAGGACCTGATCGTTGCTCAGCGCCTCGAGGAACAGCTCCTGGAATTGGAATTCCCTCCAGACAGCCCGGATGTCGACACGGGAGATTTCGCAACGCCAGTGTCTCACCTCGCAAAAGTTGCAGAGGCCTACCGCCTATCTTCGTTGCTTCACCTCTACCAGACCTTTCCAGATCTCGTTTCGCTTCGTCTTCCGACCGAGTCTCCCGTCACGGAGAGTGGCTCCGTGCCATGGGACGAGTGGATCATTCCCCTCGCCCTTCGGCTCGTCAAGGTCCTGGAGCACATTCCTACAACATCCGGCACTCGAGTGATCCAGCCGCTGCTGTACATCTCAGCTAGCACCGGTCTTCGGCACGACAATTCCGCGTCATCTGACATGATGAACATTTTTGGTTCGCTCCAGCAGGACCTGATGGGTGGCACGGGGTCGAGCGTCATCAGTCCTCCGCCATTGTTCGATTCGCACAACCTGTCGTTGTACATCAGCCAGATGGCTTCTGCCCCGGTACCGGAGGAGCCCATGGGCAATCTTTCAGTCGATATCAGCAGTGCCAGACATTTTGTCATGCGACGGTTGGGTATCTTAGAGAGTAGTCTGCCGCCTGCGCCGGTGGTTGTTGCCAGAGAGCTGGTGCAAACGATTTGGAGAGCCTACGACAGCGAGATTGGGATACCGACGATTCATTGGATCGACATAATGGAGGACAACAACTTGCGGTCAATGTTTGGATAATGAAATTGTACTTATTGCCGGATCAACCACTGCTTCACTGGCGTTTTGGACCTAAGAATCGGAAATGGTTACTTGATTCATGAGACTGCAACGCCGTGGAGTTCATTGAGAATCTCGGTCTCAAGGGTATTCATCATGACAAGAGTAACGGGACGAGACGAGTTTGGAGTCTGAATTCAAATTGACGGAGCTAGCGATGCTATGTATTTAACTGCTTGCACATTTGTGTGCCATGACCGGTTCCCCCGGTCTATATACCACAAGCTTCACGAGAGCACCAGCCTAGAAGTCGCTCTTCTTGCGCTGCCCGACGTAAAAGGCCAAGCCGTAGTCAGTCGTGGTGAAGGTGATGGTCGAGCCCTTGGGGAAGTAGAAGACATCGCCGGGCTTGGCCTCGACCTTTTGGCCAGTCTCGTCGGATATCGTGTAATCGCCCTCAAGAATGATCTTCATCTCATCGTACTTGTAGGTGTAGGTAAGAGGCTCTCCCTTCTTCAAGCGGAAAAGGCCAGATGAGACGGGCTTGTCGGGGTTGGTTTCATCGCTGGAGAAGACGTCACCGAGGTAGGCGTTGTCACCTGCCAACAGAGGGATATTGAAGGTAGACTGGGCTTTCGCGTAGTGCTGGAAGGCGGCCATTGTGAGATTATGGGATTGAAGAGTGTGAAGATTGGGAGAGCTGGTGCAATGGCCAGATGATAACAGATTTAGATATGATATTTGAGGCGTGTGTGACCTTGATTGTCACGTTATGACGATGCTGGTGTGAGCATCTCCTATTTATGATCTCATCCATCTCAACTTCCTTTGACTTTCGGATGTTGCTAATGGGGAGGTAGTCCAGCAAAGTTCGGCTTGGCCAGGGTCGATAGGCTGTAATTTCCTCTTGCGGACAAGCGTTCCGGCTCAGCTCGGGACGGTGTCTGTGGGGATCGGTTCTCCATTGTCGCCGATCTCGCGGGGAAAACGAGACTGGAGTAAAGATACGGCGCTTTATGCGACCGGGCAGCTGTGCCATTTCTAGTTAGCGGCTGACTCGGAGGGCCGTGGCACTGATAATGTCATGCCTTGTCCACATATCAGCTTCAGTTGTGAACTCAGATTCAACCTCTTAGACGCATTACTGTTCCGTGCTTCGAGTCTTTGCCTGTCTGTGCCCGTTGATAGCGCATTCTGCATCCACCATGGCGATTATGTTGGTTAACTCATTCAGCCCTGAAGCCTGGAAGCTGCTTCTTGGTATCTTTGCCCTTGTCTCCGCCGCATACATCTCCCGCTCGGTCGGCTTCTTCAAATCCAGGAAAGGCGCATCGCTTGGCCTGAAGCCAAGCAACAGCAAGCATGGGAAGTCGTCGAAAGAGCCCGAGCTCTACCAGATGCCCATACCAAGTCCGTACCCAAACTGGTCAATTGAAACCACGAAGCCTCTTCCATATCGGGCGTTTCGCTACGGCCCGAAGTACCACGTCACCATGGGGCTAAGATCGGTCCAACCTGAGGAGTGGATCGAACTCGACAACCACTTCCCCAAGTACCATGCAGACAAGGTCGCCCGTTTACAGGAACGGGGCTCCAAGGTTGTCGGAACTCACCCCGACGCCTACGCTGCTGCGATGGAATTACTTGAGGAGTTGGTGCAGTACCTGCCGAACCGATACCCCGCGTTGTTCAAGCGCACTGCCGTGGGTATCGACAATATCTGGTCCGGCGAATCATTCAACATCGTCGAGAAGCCCCTTGCAGAGGACCCCATGGCCATCGCTGCTAAGCTGGTGCAAGATGACCTGGCCATCATGATGGAACGCCCCGATGGCCAGTACTATCTTCTTGCTGGCGCAATCTGTCTTGCAGGCTTCTGGAGGCTTGAAGATAAATACGGCAAGTCTCTTGAAGAGATCCACACATCCGGAGACGTACCACACTACAAGGAGAAGCTGCACAACGGCATGGCAAGCTTCTTCAGACGCCTGCGATGCGATCAGATTTACTCACGTAACAACTACTTCATCCAAGTCGACGACTCGCTTCCATGGAGCTGGAGCATCGGTGGCGAAGACGACCCTGTCGTGAGCTGGAGCACAGCTGAGAAAAACAAGGCCATCGAGAATCACTTCTTCCGCTCCGAGAGACAGTCTCTGCGTCGCTTGCCAAAGAGCCGAGCCGTCGTATTCACAATTCGGACTTACTTCCACCCCGTCACCGAACTGGCTGCGGAAGACTACGTTCCAGGCAGGCTTGCGAGTGCTGTTCGTAGCTGGGATGACACTGTTGCCAACTACAAGGGCCGAGAGATGTATGAGAAGGTTTTGTTGGAGTATCTTGACAATGAGCATCAAAAACAGCTTGATAGGGGCTTGGATCTGGTGAAGGAGGATGAGGTTCGGAAATATCCTTGGTGAGGGCTTTGTAACGAGGGAATGTGATTTCGAGGGACTATGCCTACGTAACTAGGTATTTTCAGCGTCATCGGCCATTTTCATTGTAGAGATTTGTAGCATTCCTTCTTAATACCTTCTGAGTCTTGGTGCAGATTTATACAACATGTAGCGAAGCATATATCACGCTAGAAATACTTTTCAAAATGTCTTGGGTGCCGTTTCTCTCACATGCGCTCTATGCTAGACGTCTTAAAGGTGGACGGGTGGAATGGAGTGACTACTAATTAACACGACTTTCGAATTAAATGAAGCGTTGATAAGTAGTACCCACCCTAAGCTTTAACTGAGTCAAATAACACGACTACTTCATCAAGTTCCTTTCCATTTTCGGGTCCTTTGTCATTGCAGCCCGCATTGAAGGGCCCAGTACCTCCGTGCCATCATGGTGTGCAGAGAAGAGCTTTAGACCTATACAGAGGTTCGGCGGCTTGCGGGGAGGAGAAGTTACAGTATATGTAAGATTCCGCTTTCTTCTCCTGCCCTGGTCAGATACCAAGAATTACCCAATACAGCTAGTGCAGAAGCCTAAATCCAAGCTTAAAAAGCTACTCGGGTGGCTGGAACACTCAGGATCGGTTGCCGTAGCCGAGAGAATGCCCGCAGAAAAAACGTATGATCAATTTGTCTGGGGCAAACATGCAGTGAGCCGCTTCCAACCAGTTCACGCTCGTTTCTGCAGACAAACGAGCTCGCACAAATACGCGAGTCCAATCATGCAAAGGTACCTCAGACATGCAATGATCACCAGTGACCATAGAAACACTCGCAGCTGGGTACCAGACCCAAGCAACCCGTTGATTTTATCTGGATTGTGAGTCGCGAAGGGACTTTGGCTGCTCACAAAGGTTCCCGTGTACGTGCTTGGGGTCACATCGCCACATGCAGTAGTGTACACCCGCCGGCGAGTTTGCCCGATCGACAGCCTACCCCGTAGTCCGGTCCGCCCGAGAGCGGATCTGCCGTCAGATTGCAAAAGGCCTCTGGAATTGACAACGTGTAGCAGTCGGATAGAGAAGGCTCAAACTGTTGGGGCGGGAAAACTTGGACGGGGTTGGGCAATAATGCCAAGAGGTTACGACATCACTTCCACCTGCCTTTTTCATCACCCTAAGCAACTGATGGCCTGCATCTGGGCGCAGCCACCAGTGCTTGCGGGTAACTGAGGCAAAACTCTATTGATCAGTACATGACCCTATTTGAACGACTGTTTTCGCCATTCCTTGGCTTCTGCAGGCCGCGCATGATGATGACAGGCGAGGAGGCACAAAATGCAGGGCCACAGATGTTCTACCCCGCTATGGTAAGACTTGGATCTTTTGTAATGCAGATTTAATATCGCGTCGTACTTTGTTTGGGGCCCAGTAGATCAATGGCGTATGTATAAAAGGCCCCGTGGATTGCTCGTTGTGACCCCCAGACTTTGATTGTCCCGCTCAACTTCCACCCTCCGAACCCATCCCAGGTGCTTGTTCCCAGTTTCACTTGGCATTAAAACACTCCAATTCCAAGATGAGAACTGCAAATCTGGCTTTGGCGGTCGGCGCCCTCTCGGGGGTTTCCGTTGCCAAAGAATTGGAACCCAATGCTGAGCTGTCAGCTTGGTATGAGACTGGTGCCGCACACCAAGAAAGCATGGAACACAAGCTTGTGAGTCAATTCAGGTCTGAGGACAAGGTTACGAGAAATTACTAACCGTTAACAGGCTCAGTGGAAAGAGTTCGAGGTCGAGGGCAGGTTCGAGTCTGCGAAATGGACAGCCCGTCCGAAGGATTACATCGCCTGCAAGGACGGCAAGGTTGAATTGGTCAAGGGGGATCCTCTCCAGACTTTCAGGTGCAAGGATGTAAGCCAAATTCCATTGTGATCTTTTGTTAGCTGCCATTCTAATGCCCTTTAGCTTGATCTTTACGATTTCCAGTCTCATGCTACGCTGGGCAACTCGACTGGCCGAGGCTCAGGCTCCTGGGGTTGGACGGCGCCTAACGGACGGGAGTTCTTTGCCGTTGGGCAATACGATGGGGCTGCTTTCGTCGAGATCTCGAAGCAGGGCAAGCTCATCTACCTCGGCCGTCTTCCTCAATACTCCGTTCCCAGCCAGTGGCGCGAGATCAAGACTTACAAGAACTATCTTGTTGTCGGCAGCGAGGCTGTTGACCACGGCGTCCAGTTCTTTGATCTACGAAAGGTTTGTCCACCGCATTACCAAACTGGTCTGGATTCGACTAACCTAGCTGAAGCTTCTGGATATTGATCCGAAGAACCCCATCACCTTCTCTCAAAGCGACTTGACGGCACACTGGAGCGAAGCTCTGCCTTTAGGTCGCAGCCACAACGTTGTGGTCAACGAAGAGAAGGGTTATGCCGTCGCCGTCGGTGCTCAGCCCCGCAAGAATCTGCCTTGTGACTCTGGACTGCAGTTCTTGGATCTTGCTGACATTGCGAACCCCCAATATCTCGGATGTGCTGCTGGCGATGGCTACGTCCACGATGCGCAGTGCATTGTTTATCGAGGGCCTGACGTCAAGTACTGGGGCCGCGATATCTGCTACGGCTACAATGAGA